TTAGTTGAAAAACAAGGTTTTCGTTTAAATTGGACAATAATTTTATAATCAATTATTATTTATTTATAATTTACTTTTATGCAAAAAAGAAAAGGAAACATTTTTCTTCTAAGTTATTATCTATTCCAAAGCTCTGGTTACCGAGGAGAGTTCTGTTCGAAACTAACAGTATAATGTTTATATTATTATACTTCTATAAGATATCTAGTTAAGTTTCATTCAGTGAGTGAAGTATTGATGTTCAAGAGAAGTAAAGCTACTTCATCAAAAGAAAACTCAAGCTGAAAAAGAAACTAAAGTACATGAACAACAAATGATGCAATGACTGATCAAAATGATTATTATTCAATTTAGTCTATTTTCAATTTTATTAACGCTATACTGCTCAACATCATCACGCTTGCTGAGACTTGCCATATGCATGCAGCAGTTTACCAACTAGACAGAAATAAAATCTTTCACAAAATCTTCTGGCAAGTTTCCGTGATCATGCGTCTTTTGCTAATCTTAGGTTATATAGATTGTTGGATATGTATAACTGCTATGTTTATTACTGTATAATCATTTTATACACAAAACTACACAATTTTGTAATGTTGTTTCTTGTGGAATAATACGAAATTTTTCCTTCAATTTTCCATTTCAAGTCGATAAATTATAAATCTTAATTTAATTTACGATAGCGTTGATTAGTTTTATCGGAATTCTCCAGTAACAGGTGTTATCACAATCCTTGCGGGATCAATATACGAACCACGATGTAATCGCTGTTAATAATCACAGAGTTTGTGACTGGTCCTTATTGAGAAGTCTGTTATGGTCTGTACAGACGGAGAAGAGTCCAAGCTTTTGCTTTTATAGTTCAATACTCCTCTTAAATTGTGCTTCATAAAAGAATATTTGAAACAATTATTTAGAAAACGTAAAAAACCTCATTGCGAAGAATTCCCCTGAGTATATTATGTTCTCTCTTGTTTTACATTTATCATTTTAAGCTAATGAAAAGCATTACTTCGTTTCGAATTTACTTTTCAATTTAGGTACGAAGAGTTGAACTATTTATACTACTATATCAATTGAGAAAAAAAAATTTTCATATTTATTCGGATTTTTAATTTATTTATTCTTATATAACCAATCTCTTTTTCTAGCGTGCTGATCGTATATTTTACAGTGAAGCTTGTCAAATGATGGGTAATCAGGAAAATTATACAGTTGATAATGCTCATGATCAAGTGCAAGCTGTCCGTCTGATGCATTATTCTTCAGAAGACAAAAACGAACTTTATCGTCTCATCAAAAACTATCGAACGTTTGATGATGCATACTCTTATCTACAAAGTCTTACACGACAACGAGCAAAAATTGTGAGTTATCGACAATTTGCTTAAAATGTTAATTAACAAACATACTTTTTAGTTTTCATCAACTGCATCGACATCAACCACAATGTCATCTTCTAAACCCAATGTTCATAAATCGTTAATTAAGGCGGAAGTCAATAAGGACGATAATGGCGCAATAAATAATCCTCATTCATGTTTCGGTTCTGACAGCAATCGGAATGATTATAACGCAATTTCACCATCATCAAGTATTCAATATTGATCCTTTTTCATCAATGATACATTATAAAAATGCATTTTTATTACGTAGATCGTCTATCATCGGCACAGACGAATAGACCAAAAAGCAGCAGCAGAAGTGGCGGACAAACTTCTTCAGAAGGTAGAAAGTTGAAAGTGTTACCTAAATTTATGTCTAACTTATATAATAGTTTAGGGATTAATACATGAAGTTCACAATGAAACTAAAAAGTTTGTGGGCAGTATTTATTCAACATTAATCTTTTTAATAAAACATTATTTCTTCGTCTTAAATCTTCGATTCTTGTATAAAAAGCAAAAGACTAATAATTGTATGAAAAAAGTTTTTTTTTTTTTTCTCAATAAATTGTTTTTTTGCCTCATTCCATGAAGAATATCGAATTAAATTAGATTCGTCAATGAATTTAAATTTTGGTTTTTTTTTTGAAAGAATTAATTGTTTTTCAAATAAGATCAATTCACTTGTCGAAAAATGAAAATAGTTCATAAAATCAAATACCAGTATAATTATTAGTTTTAATGTATAAAAAAAAAGATTTTTATTCATCGAAAAGTAAAAGACATTTAATATCATATTGTTTTAATCTAATCAACATACTTTAAAAGTATCAACATAAATATTTTCAATGCTTGAAATTTTGCTCAATCATTTCGTTATTACAAATTATCAGGCGTACGAACACGTAACAACTATATCAGTCTAGACATTGATAAACGAAGATGTCGAAAAGTTTTTTTTTTATTAAAAATAAATGTAAAATTTGGCATATTACATTAAATAAAATCTAAATTTACCACTATAGAAGAGAAATCTCAATGAGCTGGACTGGGCCGAAGAAAGCCACCCCATGGGCCACTCATATATAATTGTATTGAATAAATCTTTAACGTATGAATGTGTAAGCATATTTCGCGTACCAGTAGTTAATGTGTAAACAAATGTTCAATAATATATTTAACAACTTGCAAAACCTTCAATACTCTTGAATTCACCAGTATCTACTGGTTTTTTTTCAATTAGAAAATCCAAAACTTTTCAACGTAAAAATGTGTTTGCTTTTTCATTTTTAATAAAAGCATATGACGATGGTTGTAGTTTCAAAAGAAATTTAATCCATTCGGATGTATATTATTTTGTATGTGATGATAAGCCAACGCCGGTAGAGTTGAAGAAAAATTATTAGCAAAGAATGATGATTGAGAAGGTTCAATAAGTATAGAATTGAAATTAGATATAGTAATTGATGATGATGTTGTAATTGTTCATGAACGAGAAGAGCTAGGCAAGAACATTTTGTTGAGCATAAAGCAACGTTTTTTTTAAGGTAACGGCAGTTTTATCTTTTTCTTTGTTTTGACTTTATATATTTGCTGTCCATTGCAGAAATGCTTTAGCAAACGGAAGAATTACACAGAGGTATCGAAAAAAAAAATTAGTGAACATACGCAACATTTTTTGGAAATTTTATGTTTTATTCAAGATTCGATTCACGGACACCCATAGCCATATGGAATCAGTCCGGCCCAGTCCGTTAAGATCTCTGTTATATAATCCTTTATCAAAAAAAAATATAGAGTAATATAACTGCATGTATAAATACAAAATGATCTAAATTTGAAAAATGATACATTGTAAATATAAGCCCAACGTTTACTAATATCAATTAATAAAAAAGAAGCAAATCAAGTATATTTACATAGATTTATCGGAATTAATTTCGATTGAAATCGATCCATATTAGACTAGAACCCACTGTGTCCAAAGTTTTGCGGATTCAGACCCAATCGAAGTGTATTGTGATACTCTCAATGAAATTTTCTAGTCGGAATCGGGTAGTAGCTCCGAAGATACGAGATACTTTTTTCCAATTTTTTTTTGTATTCGGTAGCTATCGCACCCTACACATTTCTCAGACAACTAGAGCCTACTGGGTCCAAAAAAAATTTCAGATTAGGACCCTATTGGCTTTACTGTTCTCAAAGGAGAAAGTCGATATAAGTCAAATGACACGAATGTTTGCAATATTGTGTAAAATAAAAGAGAGAGAGAGAGCAATATTACTTCTTTAATCATTGAAAAGCTACTACTTTTCTCTAGCAATGAAAATTCTGATTCCAGAGCGCATTTACCTAACCTAAGTTGTGGTCCCCACACCTTTGCAAACATTTCTTGAGTTTTTATATCTGAATGACGAAAACTTTTTTGTGGAAAACCTTGTGTTCTGAATTAATAATCCACAATTTAATAAACCGACATTTGATATAATACCAATGTTTATGTTACAGAAACCCTTTTTTTTTAAAAGATTTACCTATGCATCATCATAGTATCACGCGTTTTCCGAATATTATGATGTATATTATTGATAAAAGATGAGAATGATTTAACTCATAGTTTTTCATCTACTAAATTCTGTATGACAATAGTAACGTGTCAACGTTTGACAAAACTTTCATCGACACTATTAACATAAAAACCTTTTTAATAGAAAAGATTTTTTTTTACTATTGACTTCTTGACAATAATACCTTACGCAGGTCAAATTATAATGTTATCGTATTATGCGTGTGTCATACAATAGAGCATGTCTTGATCTATACTCTTATCAATAAAATTCATCTATTCATCTTGTCACTTTAGCTTTTGTCACATTACATTTTCAACGCCAAGACAAGGTGACAGAAAAACTTCGTATAACATGAAGTGTGAGAGACATTTTAATTGAATATATCGGCTAGAATATGATGTTGAGACAAACTTTGTTCTAGTGTGTGCAATAGTAACCAATGAAGACAAGATAACGATGTCTACAAGCTTAATAAGATTAAACAATGATGTTCAGATACTGATAGAAACAAAAAGATGAATGTTTAGAATAGTCTTGTTAAGAAGAGATGATCATAACAATAAATCGTCTTGATATAGAAGAATTAAAATAATTCTATGTATTGTTATATATGAATTGATATATGTTCGATTAAAATTTACATGTCAAAGTAATCTTTTTGAGAGTATATAATACATATTTTTTTTTTATTTTTCATAAGTTTTTATGACAAGAATATATCACATTGGTTGTTTTAATTTATTCTTGTCAAGTTAACACGTTTTTATAAACTTTTTTTTCTCGTGCAAACACTGTTTCTTTTTCTATGAATAAGTATAGACATTGTGACATGAATATTGAATGTTATTTTCTTCGATCAATAGAAGTATAGGTAATAATTATTCAAGTAGATATTACTGGAGAAGAAGAAATTTTTGTTAAACTATGTTTTATAATTTAAATCATAAAATTTATGTTTTAATTTATTTCATTCAAAATTCTTATTTTTAATATTGATTTAATAATCAATTGGAAACATTCATAACTTAGATTGACATAGATTAAAATGGTTGATTCTTTACCATTATTTGATCTTATACTTACAAAATCTCAATTTCAATCGATATCTATTCAACAGAATGATAATTTTACTGAACATCTTGTTAATGAACGAACATTTCTAGCATGGACACGAACTAGTCTTGATATATTTTTGCATTTGGATATGCTATTGCAAGATAGAATGGTACAATTAATTTTTGAATAATATTAAAAAATTCATTTCATGAAACAGAAACTTCTCATATCAGGACTTATTCTTGTCGGAACTGATTTTATTACTTTATCATTTAGTATCTATCGATATTATCGAATTAATCAACAAATTCTAAGAAGAAATTTCATAGATACGAGAACCTATTATTGCTGCTACATTATTTTTATTTCTTTCATTGATTATTATATTTGTAATTCTTCTTATTTTATAAAATCTTTGTTTCAATCATATTTACTAAATAAATATCGTTTATTTTATATCTCGAATACGAAACATTTATTAAAAACAATTAAAATAACATAAAAATATACGTATATGATGGAAGCATGTTATGTTATAATATAGTTACTTCATCTACATATATTTCAAGACTTTGAAACATCTTCTAAAATGTTATAAATCATGCAATAGTTGAACTTAATTAGTCATAATTATTATTTATTAATGGATAAAAATATATTAATTATGTAGTGAATATTCTTTTGGGGAGAGAAAAAAAAAAGCGCAACATACTAAATTCCGCATTTGCTTTCTCTGATATTAATTGATGTAAGTCTATTTTTCTTTTTTAATCAACTATTATATAAAACAAACTATAGAATGTCATAGAAATCGAATTTTTTGCTATACTCATTTTTCAACTTATATGTTAGTATACAATATCAATTGCGCTGACATTTTCTATTTAGATCGTTTGAGCCCATGTGAGATGATGGATAGAATGTAAGTCAGTCATGTCTTTTCAATCTGCATCGAGTTTGCTTTCATTATTTTTTTTCTTCTTTCTTTTTTTTTTTTTTTACTAGAGAAAATCTGGAACGTTGTGGCACTACCGTGCGCATTAACTCCTCTTTCTTGCAATAAGCACCATAACATATTCCTCTTTTTCTGCTTTCATGCATTTTGACTAGAAAAAGAACAGGAGAACGTGCATTATTGAAACAACAGCAACAGAAGATGTGTTCTTTTGTTTGTCTTCCGTAAGTGGTCTTGAAATAATTAGACAAACAAACAAGCATTCTAAGAATAGAAATTTTTCTATTAAAAAAAAAGAAGATCAAGCGTAAGCACGATTCATATTAATTGATCAATGATAGACGAATAATAGTGTTCTATTGATTTAAATCAATTCATGTTTCTTCGATTTTTGCGAACATGTGATAAAAAAAAACCTATGCCTGTTCCTTGTCATTGACACATAATCAGAAATAAGCTCGTGCATACGCTTGTATGACCAACAAATAGAAGTGTTTATCTATCTTTCAAGTATTTATATTATCCTTATTAAGACATGCATTCGTGTAGAATAAAACCGAGAACCTTATATGTATATTTATATCTCTACCTCTTTATTTAAAACAAAGATACGGAGTAAGACAAAAAAAAAAAAGAAAGACGGAGTCTACAATTGCAACTTCGACTAACAACGTGAAACAAGCATTTATATGTAAGTAAAGACGAAAGGATTATATACGTAGTTCTATAATTACTACTCTATGTGTTCTATAATTAATTTCTATTTTGACTCACAGTAATCGAGTTGATAAAAATCAAAGATGAATGTATGTCTACTACTCGTGAATCAATGACGCATATTTCCTTTGTAGTATTGTAAACAATAAAAAAAAAAACTTGATTCAATAATAATAAAATGAAGTAAGAGAAAAAAACAGATACGATAGAAGATTTACGTCTACTTGAGCCATCTCTATGATTCAAGACTAGTACTTGAGATATAAGAGTAATTGAATTTGACAGTTCGAATAGCTGGTGTTTTTTTTTTATATATGTGATGTGTCGCACTATTTCATTGAAGCTGTTGAGCGCTTCTAGAAGAATTATGACGACTAGATAATCTTTTTTTTTTTATAAGAAAAGAAGGAGAAGAAAAAAAAACTAGACATATAGTGAAAAGTAATAGTATCTTTTTTTTTTGTTTTTCCTTCTTCTTGTATTCCAACTTGTCGTCAAACTTATGTTAGTATTGATGTTAATGTGTACGCATTAATTTCTAACATAACTTCTGTCATAAATGATTCAATTAATTTCACCAAATAGTAATAATATTTTTTCTTTTTATCTTTTATTTTCGTCATATGTTAATCTACTAATATTTTCTTCTAATTCTTTTGAATATTTCATCATCTTTCTTTCTTTTTTTTTTAGATATTATCGAGAAAAAAAAACTTAATAATCGAAATGATTATATTCTCAAAAGAAAATGAACATGAATCTTTTTATGTTTATTATTCTTTTTTTTATTGGATGTTTATCATTAATCAATCGAATAAATTGTTCGAATAATAATACATCAACAATGTTAATTTTAGTAACACCATCATCATCAATCAATGATTATGTTAAACGTCGATTATCAAGACATTTTATATCGAAAAATATTAATTCTACTGATGATGATATTACTTTATTAACAAATCATATACGAACATTTGATACTTCATCTAGTTATAATACAATGAAACATTTTTCAAGTAAATAAAAAAGAGAATATAAATATGTTTTTATTTTTTATTTTTAGCTTTAACAAAAACACAAATTAAAGTTATTATAACTGTTGTTATTATTATTAGTTTCATCATATTTATTATTGCTATATTTCGATTTAAGTAAGTATATACTCGCATACTTGGATATGTGTGAGACATACGTCTGATTTGATATATGAATATTTTTTTTTCATATTTAACCATTGATCTTGTCCGTACATATTTCATCTTTGTCGAAAGAGAGAGAGAGAGAGAGAGAAAAGAGGATTGTGATTAACGTCGAGACAAGTGGACATAAAACATACATTCATTTTATTGCATAAACATTGTCTCGAATAGATTGAAGAGAGTGAAAAAGGTAGAAGTTAATGGAAATGCCAACGACTATGTGCAATTGTATGTAAGTGTAACATTTAAGTTATCCATATTTCTTGGTTTTTTTTTTTTATTAAACTTTTTGATTTATAAGGCATATCATGTCTACAAATTGTAACATAATTTTTCTTTACAGAATAAAAAAACTTTAATCTAATCATTTGCATATTTCATAAGATATCAATCATATGAATACTCGGGTTAGATATGAAAAAAAAAAGTAGTGACTTGCTATTTCCGGTACACCGATGAACCTAGAGGAAATTGTCTTTACGAACTATATTTATTATGTATTAGGGTCATGAAAATGCACTTTTTTTTTTTTACTTCCTATCAATAGTTTCTTAGCACTTTCCTATCATTCCAACAATGTCACATCCGTTGTAAAAAAAAACCAATAGGTATTCATGTTCTTCATCATGATATCTTTTCATCAAGTAATATATATAATAATTTTTTAATATAACTGAAAAATCTCGTTACTGAACTATTTATAATACTCTTGTTATTTGAATATATATATATAATCTTAAGGATAATTTTATATCTAAAAATATCTAATGATTGTTAATAGTAGTATTAAGAAAAAAAAAGTACATAAAATGCACTTAAAATTATCAAAATATTCTTCATTCACTTTTTTTTTTGTCATAGTAAATAGTTACAGTTTAAATTATAAATCTTATACATAATGATCTTGATCTGAAATGAAGTAGATTGAAAATAGAATGTATTGAAATAATTCAAAATTATAGTTGTCAGAACTTACTGTTGGATCTTAATGCTTCTAACGAGGAAATCTTTTTAAGTGATAAATTGTTTTTGAGTTGAGACTCTATCCTAGTGAGATATGAAATGTCGGAAAAGGAGAAGTGTCCTTAGATCTTTCTTTTAGAGTTACACTTATTTTACCGAAATTTTGGGTTATACCATAATATGCACACCAACGAATGAAATGACGGTATCGCGATCTGAAATTTCGTTTATATTAGCTGATAAAAAATGTTTTCTTGGCAAGATATTGGATTTCTAAAAATTACTCATATCCTGTGAAAGATGTAAGAATCTCAAATTTTTGGAAATTCAATATCTCACAAAGGAAACATTCTTTCAAGCTGAAATTTTCACAACATCCTAATCACAAGTAGATCGATCTGTAGAAAAAAATTTTACATCGAAATGCCGTTATTCATTGTATTGGTACATATCTGTACCATAGCCTAAAATTTCAGCACAATGGCTATAACTCTGAAAAGAAGATTTAAGAGCACTTATCTTTTTGAGATGTGTCATATCTCATTGAGATCTACTTGATGCATAGAGCCCAAAATCAAAAATGATTTATCAGTGGAAATAATTCCCTCGTTAGACGATATGCTTTATAATATGGTTTTTCATGTTGATACTTAGGCTCAAGCTTCTCGGTAGTAGAGTCTGTGGAATAAAGCCCTACCATATGGCTTAGTGCTTTAAAATTCAATATCTGTTGTGCGAATGTCAGTGAATCCAAAATATTTCGAAACCAACTTCTGAATAAATCTAAGGCAATCTCCTCCTTTGTCGATCGAAAATTTTTAGATTATTTGTTTTTTCTGATATATATTTTTTTTTCGAAATGTCCTCTATCTATTGCACACATATTAAGAGTCGAAAAAGGCAGAACATTTTCACTGTTTTTGAAAAAATTGGAGTTTCGACAAAAGAAGATTGAGAATTGCTCACTATTTCTCAATCACAGTACATCCATTCGAGTTAAAACTTATTACACTAATGCCCATTTCAAAAAAAAAACAAAGACAAATGGAAATTTTTTCGATAACTTTTGATAGAAATAAGATAGAGCGTTGCGGCTTTCATCTTTAGAAAGATGATATGACAACGCATCGCATCAAATAGTCCAAGGTTGTTCAACTTGATTTTTTAAAGATTTTTTCAAATTTCTCGGTGAATTTTTCAAGCAATTGCTGTGTTTTTTTCTTATGTTAAAAGAAAGCATTTTTTTGATACTTTTTTTATAAATTTGATTAAAAAAAAACACTTCAAAAAACATTTTAGAAGAACTTATAATATATGCATTGATGCGACATCATCTCCTCTTTTCAATGATGAAAACCACAGTACTCTATCAAAGGTTACTCAAAAAATATTCACTCGCCTCTTTTTTTTTTAAATGAGCATTAGAAAGTACTTAAGATGCCTGATTTTTTCGTTTCAATTATATGATGCATCACGAGCTATTATCAAAGTTTACAAAAAAAAACATTTATTTTGGAAGTACTCTCAGGATTTTAGTCTCATGAAAGGCGACAAAAAAAGAGACCAAAAGAAGTAGATAATACGAACAGTATCTATTATATGTAAAAAAAAAATATGATCTTTACTCCGTGCAATGTTAATATGTCCTTGAGAAATGCATTTGAAGTGTTCTATAAAAGGAGGTCCCATAAGTCGTGATATTCCCTTGTGTGTTAGACTCCAAAAAATACTTCATAATTCTATTGTCTACATTCTTAAGTTTTATTTTCAAATTACATAAATAAATTGTTTTGTTATCTAAGAAAGAAATTCCTTTTTTTTTTTCTCTCTCTTCTTCAATATCAATTTGTTTTGTTCAATTACATTGAATAAACAATGTATAAATGCGCATTGTCTATCACTAATGAAATTAGACTTCGTAGTCTGATCAATATGTTCTTAATTTATTATCTTGTTTTTTTTTTTTGTTGTTGAAGAAATGCATGTCGCAATCAAGAAACAGACAATTTGCAAACTGAAATCATTCGAAATCGTATTTTACAATATAATGAACCAAGTTCAAGACGTGGTAGTGTTGGAGTAAGTATTTTTAAAAATTATTTCATGTACAAATAATAATCATATAATAATGATTTAATAAAAAAGAGAGAAAGTAAAATACAACTAACATATTTTGTATTTAATGCTTAAAAACAGTCAATAACGACATGAATTATTGCTTTTAGTTAAGCAAGTAATGAGACATCGATCTATACTCGGCATTGCCATTAAAAGAAACAGAACAAACATAGAAAACACATAATAATTTATTAGAAAAAAAAAAAACCGAGCACGATAGACAAAAGAGACCGGCAGTTCATAGACTTGCAAGCATAAAAGAAAAACCATTCGGCATATTGTTCTATCAATCGAGATTGCATTATTCTCCGATGTATTTGACTTTGTTTTTTTTTTTTTTCTTATATTGAGAATAGAAACAGAAATACATATGTCTGTTTACCAATGCCTATAATCATTTATTGACTTTTATGTTAAATGAGCAGCAGCAGCAGCAAGTCCCACGAATGTCTTATTTCCTCCGTTATAGTTTATTACTGTATATATATATGTGCATGTATGCGTATAAATCATCTTTCCGATAAATTTTCTTCGTTCTATTATTTGCTATCTATTCTATATTATCATTATTATTATTATCATCATCATCATCATCGCCATTCAAAAAAGAATAGATTCATTATCATTACTCATTAGGAATATACTAAATCATTATTGACAAAAATATTTCCGTTAATTTTATAATCAAATACTTGACAATAACTATTTAACAGAAAGATATACGAGAAAATTTGATATTATAATGTAAGTATACAAAGATTCATTATACATACAATAAAGAGTAGGAATGCTTTTCGTGTCTTTTTTTTTTTTTGAAAGTATATTCTTATTTGTTGCAAAAACATGAAGAAAGAATTTTCCTTTTTTTATCATCCCACTTGAGACATTTAACAATAGAGTATACTATAGAAGAATAGAATCATGATTGTTCTGTTTGAGAATGAAAAAAGTGTTGATTATTGAAAAAAAAACAAATATACTCTTAGATCATTGTTCTATTCATGATAATATATCGTGACAATGAAAGAGATCTACTCAGTTAGATAATTCATATCTCATTCGCTTGATAGGAAACGTTTTAACAAACATGTCTTTTTTTTTTCTTATATAACTTCTATAATCATATTTAAGTTTTTAAGATAAATTCCTATATTCAATATATTTAGAGTTTATTTTGAATTAAAAACAAAAAGAAAAAGAAATAATATAGAAATTTAACACGTTCCGTTCCGGATTTGCGTGACATAATGTATGTACTAGCATCATTATTATCTTTTTTTTTTTTCGTTTATATTCAATGTAAAGAGAAAAATAGATGAAAGGCATGCACGTTTCTTAATATTTGTCTTGATCAAACTTTTCTATATTTCTTCTATCTTTTATATCAGAATAATTCACAACGAAACAACATACAAAATTGTTCCCATCCTATAGTGAATGATTGTTACAATAGTTAACATCACAATCTGTTAGAATTATTATAAGTATTTCCTATAGGACACAGTAAGATATTAAAATGCTTTCCACTCATTTTTTTTTCTTGTATTTGTTGCTATTGCTTAATTGTAATGAAACGAGAGAAATGCTTTCTATAAATTGCTTTATTTTCATATCCTTAAGGCTTTTTTTACGGAATCGTTATATATATATGTATGTTAATAAACTGACTAATAGCTTTCTAAGATATGATTTTTATTTGATTAATGTAAAGCTAAATAAGAATAAAATCAATTTTTCTTTTTTTATTAATATACGTTTAGAATATAAACAGAATGACATGTAAG